AGGCACGAGAGCACGCATATTCCGGCACACCAAGCCCTGAGAAAGGCACCCAGGCTGTCAGCATCTCCGGGCCAGCCAACCCAAGCGAGTAGGGTGCAGCACGCCTGAGCACCTGCTCCCGTTCAAGACCCCTTATCATCCCGCACAGGGTTCTTCAGTCTTCCTCTGCCCAGGAGACGCCACCGCACGTCAGTCGTGTGGGTGCCCTGGCCTCAGTGACAGCAGGACCCAGAATTTGGGCAGGACAGTCCAGGTTTGCCCTGTCTCAGGGCAGGGCTATGATTTTTACGGTACATCCAACTGGCTCAGCACCGTGGCTGCATTCTGAAAACTGATTTTTAATCTGCAGGTCTTGGATTTGGACCTCACCCAGGGGAGGTGAGGTAACTCTCTGCTGGTGCAGAAACACTACGCCAATTTGGGTAACGCAATCCTGAGCCACGTCCGCCAAGATCCTCATCTGGCTTCGAGGCAGCGTTAGCCGCTGGCTGCACCGTTCCTGTAGAGCCTGTTAGGATGAACGGTGCAGGCACACAGAGGGATACCGTCCGTCCTCTTCTATCTACAGCTCTTCCGGCTTTTGGAGACCCAAACACTTCTCCCTTCCAAGTCTGAGTGGCTTGGCTGTAACCCTTTTTGGAAACCCACATACCTCAGGCATTGACAGAAACTGATCTTCTTCCTCTTTTCTACCCACCACCTTGCCTTCCAAGTCAGACCAAGACCGAGAAGATGTGGGAGTGACTTTGTGGTCCCACTTAATCTGTTTTGTGACCCGCTGGACAGAGTTTAACAAACAGGAACTCAGAGATAAATTTTAGTATTGCACGTGGTGCTTTCAGGCCACCTTCAAAGAAGGTACTGCACTGCTCCATCCCCTCGGGCCTGAAGCGAGGTGTTGGCCAGCAGCATGGTTCGTTTACTTCGTTTGAGGTCTCAACCCGGGCCTCACTCCTCTCCTCCATTCCATCGGCAGAGCTGGAATAATGACGCCACTCAAACTGAGGGACCTCTTTGGAACAACGGTGCTGCAACGCTGCGTCTTTAGAGTACTGAGGTTGCAAAGAACTAACAGGGAACTTCTCCTTTGGATGGGCAATGCAGCCAGCACAGGTTTAGGACCTGGAATCGGCTCCAGCACAGCCGGCTCTGACAGCTTCACCATTGCTCTCTCCAGACACATTGCCATTTAGGAAACTGCTCTGGCTCCTTCTGAGGCTCCTGGCTCTTGACACCCAGGAGTTGCTCAATCTCTTGACACTTGGGACTTGTTAAACCCCTGTAGTTTCATAACTCTTATTCATTCAAATCACAATGATCCTAAAAACCTGTGGCTGTCTTCAGTTTACATCTTTGTAAGGCAAGGGGAGTCACGCTTACACACCTCCACCCCAGGATGGATCCTCACCTCTGGATGCCCTTCACGTCCCACCCTCAAAGCCATTTGCACACAGCCGCTGTTGTGGCTTCCCATGCTCACCAGTCGGGTCAGCAGCACAGCTCCCGCTGGGAGTGAACCCAGTCCCTGACACAAGCACCAGGCAAAGCACTTTCCTACCCTACGTGCACCGCCGCCTGCCAGCGAGGAAAGGCTCCGCTTGGTTGGCACTGAAACACCCACTTCCTCCCTGCCTTTAGAGAATTCTGTCCAGAGGTTTGAGAATTCCTTCCCGGTTTGAGAATTCCTTCCAGGTTTGAGAATTCCTTCCAGATCTGAGAATTCCTTCCAGATTTGAGCATTCCTTCCAGGTTTGAGAATTCCTTCCAGGTTTGAGTCCAGACAGCAGTAACACACAATTCTAAATGGCAAGACCACCCGTCACATTAGCACCTTGGCCTTGAGCACAGCTGCGAGCTTGAGTTTGCCTACATTACGGACTTTGAAGAGAAAATAAACGCTGGGCTAACCTGCTTCATCCTCAGACCTGTGTCTCAGAAGGTCTGCTCCGAAGCTACAAAGAAGCGCAAGGAGGGGTCTCCCGACGGTCTGCATCCACCTTCGCTTCCTTCACCGTCGGGAGCAGAGCTTGGCACGTTCCCCGTGCAAACCACACACCATTTACATTTGTGGCTGAACTTTGTTGGTCTTGCAGAGATTTGCATTTCCTCCGTTTCTGGACTGAGTCAGGCAGCGACGGGTCATGTTACACACAGTTCTAAAACTTGCGGGGCGAAGCTCAGTTCCCAGTTGTAGTCACAGAACACAAAATGGATAATGGCGAAGCAGCTGAAAGGATGCCCACTTGGATCACTTTGCTAACCTTCTTTTGGTCAAAATTGCCATTTACAAAAACAAACTTTTTTTTTTTTTTTATGTCAGTGGCACATGATTTTATAGGAGAGCAATCCACAGCTATCCTATGACCGTGATTCACTTTCCTGGACCTATTACACGAAAACTGTAAGTGACGCAATAGGCTGTGACTGACATCGAAGATCCGTTGTAGCATCCACTAAGTAATTTATACTCCCAGATCTTACAGAAAGCGGAAGCAGAGAATTGTCAGGAACATGACGGTGGGAGGGGAAAAAAAAGGGAAAATAAAAGGGTAAGAGCACCGCACCGATGTCGGTAAGCCGACGATGCACCCTGAGCGCGCCTGGGGAGGCAGGTAAGGAGCTACCTGGTATCCCAAAATCCTGCCCCTCCCCGACAAGCAGCAGCACAGTGGTGAATTAAATCCCAAAGCGACAGACACCCCCGGCAGCCCTGCGTTGGAACAGCGGCGCACAGCCGTCTCCGCTTGCACAGGGCTTGGCCGTACCAAGCCCCACTCCCCCGCAGCCACACGGGCTCCGTGAAGGTAACGCCACATCTGGTGCCTGAATCATAGAATCATAGAATGGTTTGGGTTGGAAGGGACCTTAAAGATCATCTAGT